AAGGCTACCATTTAGATGCTTGCTCAAATGCTGCTAAGTATGCTCTTGAAGAGAGTGAAGTGTGCATTGGGTTTCGGCTCAGGGTGGCGGAATGCGAGTTCAACGCTTTAGGGTTTTCATGTGAGGAAGTTTAGAGGAAGTCGAAGGTCCGGAATGTTGGCTTCAGGGCTTCACGAGCTGGGGGTGCGGGTCTGCCTTGTGAGAACAAAAAGCCCGCCGGTTCTTCTGCTGATAAGCCCACCAATTCTTCTGCCGAAAAAATAATAACTACTCATACGCGTTTTCCGGGGTGGGTCCAAGCTTTAGGTTTCAGGGCAAAGTTCCTGTGGCATTCGGGCTGATGCATGGCATTCGAAGGCTGACCGGTAAGGTTTGCGTGGACATTGGGAGAAGAAGGACCGTCAGCCAAGCAATGAAATGTAACATCATCGGTGTTTTGGGGTATTCGGAAACAGGGATGAAAGACCTCCTTGCCACCAGATTCCGACTACACCTTTGTGACAAGGCACCTCCCATCAGCTTCTCCACACAATCCTCTGGGAAGAAGCAGAAGATCGCCTTAGAATAGTCAAGGCCCTTTCAGGCAAGATTTTATAATTTGCAAGAACCAAGATTTGAAAGGAAGTGTAAGACACCAAAGCTTCAGACAAAACTCTCTTCACAAGACTCGCAAAATTGCTCATACAAATCATGTGGGCTTGAAAGCCTAGAATTCATACCAGAACATCTTATGGCAGTGACAAATCATGTCGGCTTAATGGGCTAGCCTTCACAAGAGAGTCTAATGGGCAGTAATATATAGTCCCCCTTAAGTAGACAGAATACGGGTATATGGGGATTTTGTTATTATATAACCAAAGCTATATTCTATCTACTTAAGGGGACTATAAGAATAAGAACAGCAGTAATCATAACAATCATAAGGATAGTCATAGGAATTATAATGGAGGTAACAGTGATCGGAATAATGGATTCTTCTTCTATACCTGCCACCAGGTACCACCAGGGGCTGTCCACTACTGGGCCGGACTAAAGATAAGAACACAAAGCGTCTGTTTGAACTCTGGTAGATGGGCTATATTTCAGTACATTAGAATCTGTTATATACATATATATACATGTAGCAAATTATACTACATTGTAATATATTCTGGCAATTTCTGGTATATCATAGTTTATTATCGTATCTTAAAGAATATTCAGTTATAACATAGAATATACTATATTAGGGTTTAGGGTATAGGGTTTAGGGTTTTAGTTTATGGTAGGATATTTCAAAATGCTGCTACTGGCTGTCAACAGCCCAAACTTCATCTCTCTGTACACCCACACGAATCGATGTCCACCTCAGGGTGCCCTGAACAACAGGGGATGCTTATAGTCCCCCTTGAGTAGATAGAATATGGTAGTATGGGGCATATGGGGATCTTATTAGAACATACCCAAAGCCACATTCTATCTACTTAAGGGGGACCATAGAATTCAGGCTGAGGCTGCTTCCCCGCTGCAAATGAAAATAGTGTGATCCCTCGAAAGCTATTACTGTGAGTGAGGAGATAATCCTTTCCATCTCCGTAGCGCTGTTGGGATAATTGGAGTATTCAACCTTCATGCGGACAAAATCATGCTTGATCTCATGTTACGTATAGCTAGCGTGAATCCTGAAGTTGAGGTATATAGCGTCCTGCAGGATTTCAACATCCACCGTAGCTAATTACATAGATCGGCTTGAAAAGCTACGCGGCCCATGTAGACCCCTAATTAATAAACTCCCTCCCCTTATTCGGGGTTGTAAACGGGATCCTGATATTCAGGCCCTTGAATGGAGGTGGTTTATTAATCACGGGTCTACATTAGCCCGAAGGCACGGTGATTTTGCAGACTGCATCCAGGCTGCATTGAAGCAGCTCAATATAACCTCTATAACTCCCATAGTCTACTCTCTATATATATATATATATGATCCCTTATTCCTTAAACCCTAAACCCTGACTGCATCCAGGCTGCATTGAAGCAGCTCAGCATATCCGGCAAGAAGGACAAACATTCACTCCTTGGCTGTTTTGAAGGGTTTAGGGTTTAGTGTAGGGCTAGGAGGAACCCCACCCTGTAATAGTGGCATAATGGGAATAGAATAGAGAAGGACCCTGATAAAACCCTTACTATCCCTTATAGTCACTACTATAGAGTGGGGGGTCCACCTAAGGACTGTGTTTTTTAGCAAGCAACTCTGAAACGGATAACGAGCGTCACGGAAAAAGTAGAACAAAGAGAACAACAGGCCATGATCATACGAAAAAGGACATGGCTTACAATCTGGACCCTCCTGTGTCGCTCCTCCTGGAACAAAGGTGCTACATTGATGTGTCTATGGTATGTTCCGAGTACCCTAGAACAGTCACCCTTAGGGCATGGTACTGCCTCAAGTACCACATCTGGGAGGTGGTACAGGGTGGGGACAGTATCCAACCACAAACACCGAACCCTAAATACTCGATAGTCTGCACCAAACTGTAGGCAAACGCGTTTACAAGTATGTTCCAAGCCGCACTGAGAGGTCCTGATCACTCAGCTTCTGCTCCCTGGCAGCAAACTGCAGCGGGGCGCAGCATTGGAGGAGCCCATCCAGCCTTACTCGATTCTGTTGATATTTACAAGCCTTGCCGTAGCAAACTACCACAATACCCAGGGTGTAGAGTCTAGACTAGTTTAGGGTCATGTAAGGTTTTAGCATGAACAGTATGGATGAGGGTTTGGGCTTGGGTGTAGAACAAACACGTCGAATAAGGGTCCCAAGAATTCAAAATGAGTCCTTGCTTGGTAGTTTATGCCGAGCTGCTGCCGTTGAAGGATTAAAACAAAAAATGCCGACAGCAGGCCTCAAAAAATCCAGAATATCAGCCTTCAAGCCCACAATGCTATCCAGTGAGCTTGCAATGAGACCTTTGAGCGATCTCGCAGAACACAAGAACCACCAAATGCTGGAAGGACACATGTGCTGAACGACGGAGCTGAAATCCTCCTGGCAACAAGCGCCGGGAAAAATAACAGCAGGTTCAGTGTGAAGCACATAAGGTCAAAGTGGTGTCATCTGGGGTTCGAGGGCCTCAGCCAAAGACGATATTACCCCGAGTCAGATCAGGAAGGCTTCCGAATCAAAACAAGTGCGTCCCTGGGCAGATTCGATCACTAAGCAGAGTATGACACGCAATTTGTCTCCTTGTGATCTTCCTACACCCCTCGAGCCCCTATAGACACCCTACTTCAAGAAGCCGCCATGTGCCCATGATCGCTCATATTACATTGGGATAACGGAAAAGAAAATATAGTATATTGGGGCTGTATGGGGATAATGGAAAAGAAAATGGAAACTGAACGGCCTTGCCTTGAAGAGCGGCTGATATCTGAAAGCAGAGTGAACGATCTTCGTCACAGTGCTTCGATTGGCGTCGCCTTACATCCCTAGTCTCCTTGCCTAAGGGCTTCTTTGGTGGACTATAAGGCGGAAGCTGTAGGCTTTCCCCGGCATTAGGATTCTAGACCCCAAGCCCCAAAGCCGCAAAAGAAGCATAAAGGATTACCCAGCGCCCAAGTCGCCATAGATGACGCAAATGTCGATGATCTTCGGGACGTCGAAAACTTGGCCTGAAAACCCACCTAAAGGAAAAAGCAGTAAGCCCCAAGTATTGACCCCTTAACGCCCTACACCCGAAACTCCAAACCAAGAGCAATACCGAAACGAAGGGTATAAGAAGTAATACTAATGCCAATTCAATTCCCAAACTCAGACTACACTTTTACCACTGTTGATGCTCGTTCCCAAAGCCTCCCAAAACTTGAGGTAGTTGGGCTCATGCGGGAGTTTCAACATAAACTGTAATCTTGATGTTACCTAGTGCAAATGTTAAGAGTATGGCAAAATGCGGATCCTAACAAAACCATGTGACTGCTAGAGGTCCCCAGCTTTAGGGGAGCTCGGGTAACACAACTCCTCTCACTACTACTATTGTCTTATCATTGACAGAATCCCTTAACTTAAGCACCCACATAAGCCCAGTTTATTCTTCCAATAAACTGTGCAAACTTCATCCTAAACCCTAAACCCGAAGCCCTAAACCATGCGACTGCCCTCATCCCTTCATGAGGTCAAGGACGGCCCAGCGGCTTTCTAAAATGACCAAAGCGAATTTCTCGTGGGAGAGGAAGTCGCTCGGGCTCTCCTTAGGTGAGTGCAGGCAACCTTCGCCCTGATAAGGGCTTCATGGGCTTCATGGCAGCTATGGAAGCAGAAGTAAAGGTTCTATAAGAGTTGGGGATTTCCCTACAGTAAGGTAGTCTGTGGGGACTCTGGGGACTTCAAAAGATTTAAAGGGGAGTACTGCAGCTTTGTACCCTTCTTGATTTCAATGACGTTGACCATGAGGGACGAAACACTTTTAAGACTAAACACTTTTAAGAGCGCTGTTTGGCGCCTGTTTGCACCTCCTTGGGCACCATTGACACCCCGTGACTAAACCCGAAACCCGAAATCCTAATGATAAATCTACGAGTTGAATGGAGCCCTCGGGAAACGCAAAGGCCGCTCTTGGTCATGCTGACTATAATGACAGCAACGTAGCTAAGGATTACATGAAAAGGGGATTTTGGAAACCCCAACCCCCGTAATCAGGACCCTATAACCAACATATGATAGTTATAGGGTCCTAATTTGGGGGTTGGGGTCACTAAAATCCCTTATTATTACAGTGGCACAGAGTCGGAACAGATCCGTCGCTTATACTCATGGTGTATTCACAGCATGTGATTTGGAAATTTGGGACTCCAAAAAAAATGTTGCCCCTCACAAGTCCAAGCAATCCGAAACCATATATAGCAACGGGCACCCGACACGGGAGTCCGTTTTAACAGAAGCCGTAAACCCTTCATCCAAGCCCGAAGCCCCTCGAGCACACTCATGTGCGCCGTAAAAGCAGCAATGTTGGCACAAACCTCACATACAAGTACAGAGAACTCTGAGCTCGGAATCAGACGCCCTAAACACCATAGCCTCAACATCCCTAAGCCGCATCAACCCGACACTTCGGGCCCTGAACCCTGAACATCCCTAAACCCTATATACTTAAGTTACCAGAATGGGTATATATAGTAAATAATAGGGTTTCCCCAATATAGTACCTTAAATTAAGTTCCTTAACAGCAACCCAAAATGTACCCCTTTACCCCAACATCCCGCTTTAAAGGCACCAGAAACCTATCCAACATGCAAATTTCTGTGCCTATATATCCCTATATGTTATACACCCATATATCCCCCATAACCCCTTTAAAGGTACCTAAGACCACAAGGCCTAAACTCAAAATGTGAGTTCTGAGCAAGCTGCTTGCGGCCGACTCAGCCTGACTAAGAGCTGCAGCATTCTCCGACTGACTTCTTTCGTCACGGCCTGCTGTGGGGACTAGGGTTTAGGGTTTAGGGTACCCTAAACCCTAAATCCTAAATGCTGTGGGGAATAGGCGGTTTGGCATGTGAAGCTTTGGAGTTTAGGGGTCAGGTTTAATATAGTGATGTACATGGCTGAGTTTAGGGATATATAATGGTCATATCCAGGGATGTATAGGGATAGATCGGATTTAGGGTGTTAGGTTTGAGTACACTTTGGAATAGCTTGGGACGGAGTGTACATGTATGAGGTTTTGGTACTCTACAGATTACCTTCAGGATGTAAACCCTAAACTGCCCTAAACCTGAACCTAAACTCTGAAACTTCAATCAATGTATACAGGTCCACAAGCTTATCGCAATCCCCTGGACAGGCCACAACAGTGACTATCTAAAAGGTTAAGGCTTCCTTTATTCAACCGCAGTTTACACTTAATTTCCCATTTGCTTGTCCGTTTATTCTCCGTTATGGGCGCAATATATTCCATATGTAGCCCTTATGATCAGGGACAAACAAATCCGGCGATGACATTTGCCTGTTCCTCGGCCGTGGCGCCCACATCCTCCAGACCTTCTAGATCATGTGCCCTGAGGCAGAATCTCAGGTAGGAGTCTACCTCAGCCGGATGGTGTAAGGGTTATGAGTAACCCTCAACCCTAAACCAGGGTTTAGGGTTTAGGGCTCTAGGGCTTAGGAGAATTTGGGGCTTAGGTTTTGGGGTCTGAAGCCTTGGGTTTTTCTGTTAGGAGTCTACTTGAGCTGGACATCACTTCCAAGGGATGTGAGGCCCAACAAACAGAGCTCAAATGAGGATCGCTGCGACTGGACAGGTGCCGAGCTAGATGGGATGCCCAATAATCACTTCCACAACCATGACCCTTCCCGGAATAGTTCATGTCCCAATACAGTACAATCATATAAACCACGTAGGGGGAATATCTAGAATTAGGGTCGTGAAGGTAGTTCATCGCTTCCGCTAATAACCAGAACGCTGCCCTCGGCCCCGAATTATAGTTTATGCGCCGCCTAAACTGTTCCTTGCCAGAATTAGGGTGGAGACCTGCCGCAAAACTTAGATTTTGAAGGCCTGCTTAATCTCGATTACGGAGCAATTCATTCCCCAGTAATCAATCAGAGCACTGGGACATCCGTACTTGATGGGAACTCGTTCTTTCACTCGCTTTTTCACCAATGAACTAAACAACATCTTTTACCCACCACATGTTGCACAGACAAAAGCACTGAGTGCCAAGGCAACATCTGAAGTCCTCAATCCTAAGTGGAGTTCTTGGAGGTTAACTTCCTTCAAATACAACCTGAAAACTAAGATCTATAGTCCCCCTTAAGTAGATAGAATATGGCTTTGGGTCTATTATAAGAAGATCCCCATATACCCCATATTCTATCTACTTAAGGGGGACTATAAGCCATGGCTCATGTATCCTTACGGTCCGCAAGGGAGTTCTTTTTAAAGAAGCTGCCGCTGGGAAGGCCTC